TATTTTTGTACTGGGAAATATTTTTGTACTGGGAAATATTTTTGTACTGAGAAATATTTTTGTACTGGGAAATATTTTTGAACTCAGTAATATTTTTGAACTCGGTAATATTTTTGCACTCGGTAATATTTTTGCACTTGGAAATATTTTTGTTTTGGGAAATATTTTTGTTTTGGGAAATATTTTTACTGTCTGGCATACATATATCTGTGTGCTTAAATACACATTCTTGTACTGACATTAATACATTTGTACAGTACTGTATTTGATATTTTTGTATTGCCCCGTTGTGGGCTACCGTACAAAACAGTTAAAATAAATACATAAATATAGGCTATAACAATTCYTGGTTTTCACCTACGTCATTATAAATTTCAAAAGCGTAAATTCGCACTATAATGAAATAGAAGTTTTATATTCTTGTAAAGCGGTCCAAACTACATATACTGGCCAAATTTTAAGGCTGTAAAGCATTTCGTTACGGAACTATAGGCGAGTAAACATAACGCAATTTTTGGTTAATATGTATGGAGCGGCCATCTTGGCGGTTCCAAGTTGGTACATCATCATGGCGTGACATTGATTGACATCTGGTACATGACAATTGATTGGACTATAGACGGGAACCCTATAGCAACTAAGTTCCTGAAGACCCCTGGGTACTGTTGCGCAACTTGTTCAATTTGTGGAGCAGGAATCAGAAGAAAAAAACACAAGACGCTCTGAGATCGTAAACTCGGCTGTCTGGGTGCATGAAGACATAATTTAAGACCGATAACTTCGCATACGTAACACTCTTGTGCGGAACAACTTYAATAGGTAGATCAGCATTTGTCACCATAATAGGTAATGATTATTTTTTGCCACAGTGGGCTAGCTGTGACACATCCGTAATTTTCTTCGTAGAAAATTCCGGATGTGACGCAGGCTACAGTGGGCAATCGGTGTGATATATTACGTGCGTAAATGATTGACTCTTTTGTTTCGTTTTTAGTTTCTGAGCTCTACCACAATAGGAGTGACTACTATCCCATAGTGCTTTGCGATTGCAAAGCATTTTCAATATGGGGGCAAGTTGACTGAAAGGCAACACGAAAATAGCTTTTATTCTACTAACAAGGRATGTTTCTASTTTGCTGCATTACTAGGTAAGTTCTAGAGATAATAATTTATCATTTGTGTAATTTTGGACTTGAATAGACGAGYTTAGAGTGTATAATTTTACATTTTCTTCRATGTTATTGTCATTCGGGAGATTTTTTATTTTTGATAGTTTGGTGTATGTTTCTCTATGTATAACTTAATAATTTGAGGGTCAATCTCATATGTTATGTGTTTCCTACTTTGTATGTCATTGTAGCTTTAAAGTGAACTTAGTTTGACCCAGATTGACCAAGGTTTTTAACAAGAAATGTTGCATTATATTTGACTATTTTTCACGTTTACTGACTGAAGATAGTTGTCGCGAAGCGTTTTGCTTCATGCTGATAACCACAGATCGCTCGCCATCGAAAYTATTCCAATTTTAAGTAAKGAATCAATATCACTGGTCATGTGGTTGTTTTAGCCTCTGTATCTAA